TCTGAACTTGGACAGCAGCACTGGACGTGGGGAGAAATGGATGAATGCAAGATATTTACAAGGGTGAATCAATGGACCATGACATGGCACGTCAAGGAGCAGAACATCTATGAGCACATAGCAGAATAGTTTTCCACCAAATATATTGTGTAAAACCCACAGATCTGTTATAAGAAAACATGACTAAGTCTGACAATCCCCATCATTCTGGAGAAGAAGAGGCCTGTACAGTATAGAGTTCCACCTGTGCAGCCCTCTGTTATTGAACTTTTCAGGAGAAATGCAACCTTGAGCCCCATGGAGACACCACATGCTTGACCTTGAGTCGGGCATCTGAGAAGGTCTTTCTCAGTATTGAGATGGGCAGTGGAGGCCCCCTACCTGGGGGCACCTCAGTGTGTTGAGAACTGTACTTACCTGTGGAAAAGGGCTTTTTCCTGGTCAGTGAGATAAGAAATGTTCCGATTCCTGCTGGACATGTGAGTCAGGGCCTCACAGGGCATGTGTGGAGGCTTCACACAGTAGAAGGCTTCTTGGTCTCTATTGTCCAGGTATTCACAGAGCTCTCCCCTTGACATTGGGGTCAGGCCACATTCAGTGAAGACATGGGAGGTGACGTTAACAAATTTACCTGTGAAAATAATCTTATCATAGCCTTGGTTCCTGGCCCTCCAGAGGGCCGATGCCCCTTCACTGGGGTGGATGAGCAGGACAGACAGGGTGACCCAGCCCTCCCAGAATAGAGTGAAGGTGACACGGTAGTTGCCGTTGTTAAAGTCGGTCACTTTTCCTGCAGCGCCTGCCTGCAGGGCTGGGGAGAACATCCTGGCCCTCAGGAAATCCCCACCATATTGCTTCCGGTGCCCCAAGTGGTCCCTCGCCTCCAGCAGGACGTCCAGCTGGTCCCCCATGCAGTATGTGTGTTGAGGGTTGAGGATGGTGGCTGTGCTGTGTGAGGCACTGGTGGTGGTGTTCACATGAGTGAAAGGTCTGGGCGGGATCTGCTGGTCTAGTTTCGCCATGATTTCCTGTATTCTCAGCTCAGTCTCTGTTGGTGATTTTCTCGGGCTCACTGGTGTTTTGGGGAATGAGGACTTCATAGTGGTGTTCCAGTGAGGGAGGAAGGTGGATAAGTTTAAAAGAGGCCAAGGCTGAAATGACAAGAAATGTGACATACTATGAAATGAACCCATTCCTAGTCATTTTTACTTATTTTGAATTTGAATATTTATTTATGTTACATATTGAATATTTATCTAGTATCATATCAAATAATATTATTTATGCTTTTCGACGATTTTGAATAAAATGTGAACATTTACATTTTTACCTTAATATTTTAAAAAATACCTGAAGGGCTGTAGATAAATATTTGATATCCAAAACATACAGCTCAGGTAATGCTTATGAGTATTAAATTGGTGTCAATGCATTTTCTCTTCCTTTTTTTATTCACCTTACTTCTGATAACTGATTCCTGTCACTTCTACCTCTGTGTACCTTTTTCCTTTGTCTAATGGTCTTTTCCTCCTTGGCTGTATCAGAGTTCAAGTCCCCTCAGAGATGAAAGCTGCGTTCCGATTGCATGGAGACAATCTGGCTTTCTCTCTATTTACCTTCCTGATTGTAGCTAAGTAAGTTCTTCTAAAGCAAAACCATACACATGTCCCTGTTGAAAGCCCTTTCATAGCTTCTCATAAGTCTTGGAATGAAGTCTGTTCTTAACGTGGCTTTATTCGGTGGCCTATTTTTAACAACCCGTTCTTGCCAATCCCTCCCTTCCACTTGATGTTTTGATAGAACTATTTTATTTTTAGGAGCTGACCTTCCTTTCTTTCAGCTCTTGCTTTTTACTCATGCTTTCTTTTCTTTCTGGACTGCTAGCCACCTCCTCTCTGTTGACTTCTAATTTAGAAGTTCTTGCAAGCTTAGAGGTCACTTATGCTTTTAGCCTTTCAAACTCAAATTCGGGGATTTCAAAACCTTGTGGAGAGTCAGAAGCACTTGCCAAGCTTTTCTAAAAACATGGATTCTCTGGCTACAGTCCAGACCAACTGATTCATAATCACTATGTTGTGGCAGTATGTTTTCCAAAAGCCTCACGGGCAACCCTGGGATCAGGTAGGTTTGAGAGCAGGCATTACACACCAGTGATTGCCAACCCCCTCACACTTTAAAACACCTATCAAACTTTTTAAAAAAATGCATGACCAGGCTGCACTCCACTCTAGTGTCATCAGTAAAACCCTGGTGATTGGTCACAAAGTGGCAGAGTAAACCAAAACAGATAAGAAATAAGGAAATATCATTTAAAATGAAGATGAATAGAATCCAAGTCGAATCTTTGAAAAACCTTTGGCAAAGCCAAAACACAAATCTTTGGCAGAGCCAGCCAAGAAACAGAGAGGGATGCAAACAAAAAGCCAAATAAAAACCTTTTTATATATCTCTGGAAAATGTTTATAAAAACCTTATTTAGTACAAAGGAAAATAGAAAAATACCAATATCATTAATGAATGTCAATATAAAAATATTCAAAAAGATCCTAGCAAACAGAATTGAATGACACATCAAAGAAATTATACACCTTGATCAAGCTGACTTTAGCCTCGGGTTACAAGGTTGGTTCAACAAATGTACATCTATAAATATAATAGACCACAGAAATGAAATAAAACACAAAGATCATATGATTCTATCAATTGAGACAGAAAAGGCTGTTGATAATATCCAGCATCCTTTCAAGATTAGAACTCTGAAGAAAATAGGCTTAGATGGGACATTTCTTAAACTGATAGAGGCCGCCCACAGCAAACCCACAGCCAGCGTCATACTGAATGGAATAAAATTGAAAACATTTCCACTCACATCTGGAACTAGACAAGGCTGCCCATTGTCACCACTGCTATTTAACATAGTATTAGAAGTTTTAGCCATCACTATTAGGCAAAAGAAGGGGATCAAGGGTATTCAAATGGGGTCAGAGGAGGTCAAACTCTCACTCTTCATGGATGACATGATCTTATACCTGGAAAACCCCAAGGACTCAACTACAAAGTTCTTAGAAGTGATCAATGAATCCAGCAGTGTCTTGGGATACAAAATCAAGACTTACAAATCTGTAGCTTTTATTATGCCACAATAGTCAAGCCAAAAAGACAGTCAAGAACTCTATTCTTTTTACAGGAGTGCCACAGAAGATGAAATACTTGGGAATTTTTCTAACAAAGGAAGTGAAAGATCTCTATAACGAAAACTATGAAACCCTGAGAAAAGAAATAGCTGTAAGATGCTAAAAAATGGAAAAACATACCATGCTCATGGCTGGGAAGAATCAACATTGTTAAAACATCCATACTACCCAAAGCAATCTACAGATGTAATGCAATCCCCATCAAAGCATCAATGTCTTACTTTGAAGAACTTGGAAAATAGTACTTCATTTTGTATGGAATCAGAAAAAAACATGAGTAGCCAATACCCTCTTTAGAAATAAAAGCAAATCTGGAAGCATCACACTACCAGACCTCAGGTTATACTTCAAATCTATAGTGATCAAAACAGTATGGTACTGGCACAAAAATAGAGATGTAGATATATAGAATAGAATAGAGAATCTAGAAATAAACCCAGCCACAGATCATCATTTGATTTTTGACAGGCCTAACAAACATGCATTGTGGAAAAGAATCCTTATTTAACAAATGGTGCTGGGAGAACTGGTTAGTGACCTGTAGAAGATTGTAACTGAACCCTCACCTCTCACCACTAACAAAAATTGATTCTCAATGGATAAAAGACTTAAATTTAACACATGAAACTATAAAAATGCTAGAAGAGAGTGCAGGGAAAATGCTTGGAGATATTGGCTTGGGAAAATATTTTATGTGGAAGACTCCCCTGGCAATTGAAGCAACATCAAAAATAAATTACTGGGATTTGATCAAGCTACAACGCTTCTGCACAGCTAAGGGCAGTTCAGGAAAAGCAAACAGCCTTCAGAATGGGAGAAGATTTTTGCATGTTATGATTCTGACAAAGGTCTGATAACTAGAATCTACAGAGACCTCAAATTAAACAATAGGAAAAGTGCAAACAACCCTCTCTACAAGTGGACAAGAGATTTGAACAGAAACTTCTCCAAGGATGACAGATGAATGGCCAAAAAACACACGAAAAATGTTCATTGTCTTTAATCATCAGAGAAATGCAAATCAAGACCACTCTAAGATGTCACCTAACTCCAGTAAGATTAGCCCACATCACAAAGTTCCCAAACACCAGATTCTGTCATGGATGTGGAGAGAAGGTACGTAGAAGGTACGTAGAATGTACATACTTCTACGCTGCTGGTGGGATTGCAAACTAATACAGCCTTTTTGGAAAGAAGTATGGAGAATTCTCAAGAATCTAAAAGTTGACCTTCCATTTGACCCCACAATTCCATTTTCACTCCCTCCTCCCACCAGACACCTTCTCCCTTCCTCTCCCTAGGTATCTACCCAGAAGAACAAAAATAATTTTACAACAAAGACATTTGCACCAGAATGCTTATTGCAGCCCAATTCATAATTGCCAAGTCATGGAAGCAGCCCAAATGCTCATCAACCCATGAATGGAGCAACAAACTGTAGTATATGTATACTATGGAATACTATTCAGCCATCAATGAGGCTGGAGACTTTACATCATTTATGTTTACCTGGACGGAGTTGAAAGACGTCCTTCTTAGTAAAGTATCTCAAGAATGGGAAAAAGGTATCCAATGTAGATATTGAAACCAATATCAAAACACACTCTCTTATGAATGATAAAACCCAAATATAGTCCAACAAAGGGAAAGGGGGGAGGAGGGAGAGGAAGGGAGAGGAAGGGAGAAGGTGTCCAGTGGGAGTAGGGAGGGCATTTGATGGGATCTCAACTAATGTGCACAATGCAAGGATATATTTCTAAACAACTAAGAGTAAACTGTAAATGTCTTACCACAACAAATAAGTGAGGTGATGGTTATATTAAATCTGTTTCATGATTATATTACTCTGCATTCCATACTGTATATTAAATCAGCAAATATTGGCCAAGTTCAAGGTTAAAGTCATCAACAATAAGCCATATGTTGCTGGCACACATCCTTGATGTGATAAGTGGAAGGTCAATTTACCTCTGTAGGCTTCCTTCCCCAACCCCGTAAACTGTATTTAACTACAACAAAAAATGACAAACTAACATGGAAGGACATTCTACAGAACGCCTGTCACTATATTTTAAAACTATCAAGGTCGCCCAAAACAAAGAAAGTCTTAGAGAAGCCTAAAGAGAAAGAACATATGTAACATGGTATCCAGGGTAAGATCATGGACGAAGGACATTAGGTAAAAATTAAGGAACTCTGAATAAGATATGGACTTCCTATAATAACATACTGATATGTTTCATTAGTTGGGATAAATGTGCCACAATATTGTTAAAAATGAGGGAAGTTAAGATTAAGGGTGTAGAGGAACTCCCTATAATATTCTTGTAATTTTTTTTTATAAGTTTGGAACTATTCTAAAATGAAAAGTTTATTAAATCTTAAGAAGATGAGAGTTTGGGCAATAATTATGCCAGGTTGAAAAACATAAAAAGAGAAAAAGGGGAAAGGAAGGTGGAATTGTAAAGTAATAGTCACACCAAAAAGTATTAAGAGGCTGGGCGAGGTGGCTCACCCCCGTAAACTGAGGCAAGAGGATCGCTTGAGCCTGAGTTGGAGGTTGCTGTGAGCTATGACATCACCGCACTCTACCAGGGCGACAGCTTGAGACTCTGTCTCCAAGAAAAAAAAAAACAAAACATTGTGGATCTTAGGTTATGGAATTAAATAGCAGAAATAAAGACTTACCAAATATTAAAAAAAAAGTATTCAGAGACAAAGGAGAACATCTTATGTGCTAAACAGTAATTAATTCACAAATGAGTAATATACACACAATACAGAAATACATTCACAAGGCAGAAACTATAAGAGATTAAGTGGAAATAGATAAATTAATGATAAGTGCATTTAATATAATGAGCTATCTCAGGAGTATCATGTGGACAAAAAAATTAGTAAGGTAGTTACTAATTTTAAGTAAAGTAAGTAAGGTAAAAATTAGTAAGGTAGTTACTAATTATAAGAACTAATAGTGATAAAGAAAGATCTTGCAGACATATACTGAACTCTGAATTCCAGTAACAGAGAATACACCTTCTTTTTAAGAAGATAACAAAACTTTACAAATAATTGTCTGTATCTTAGGTCACAAAGAAAACCTTAACAAATGCTAATTACTGTAAGTAATAAAAACAACCTTCTTTGATTATAATGTAGAAATTTAATAGAAATGTATTTAAAAACCTCAAAATACCGTTCCACTGTGAAAGTAAAAAGTTTTAAAACAATTCTTGAGTAAAAGAAATACAAAATAAAATTAGAGGGTATTGTAAAAATAACCACAACTAACCTGTTACAGTAGAATCTATGAGATACAGCTAAAACAATTATCAGATAAAAATTGACAGCATTAACTGCCCTGTTAAATAAGGAGAAAAAAAGCAAATGAGGTAACCCCCTAGCTCAAAAGTAAGAAAAAAGAAAACAGATTAAATAAAAAAAAAAAACAGAAGGTATTTTTTTTTTAATAAAATGTCTTTTTTCCTTTGGGTAAATAGAGAGCAGTGGATCGAATGGTAGATCTGCTTTTAGTTCTTTGAGGAATCTGCACATGCAGAGATAACACAGAAAATCAGGAAGGGGGTGGAGAAACCAGGGGATGTTCAATTCATACCTGGTGGGTCCAACACTCACTATCTGGGAAATGGGAATACGTACAACCTTGACCCAAGTGATAAAAAGCAATGTATGTAACCAAAATCTTTGTATCCCTGTAATATTCAGAAAAAAATAAATAAACAAGAAAGTAGGAGGGAGAAATTTATAGGGAGACAAAAGCAAAAATAATGTATTAAGATACCAAAAATTAATAGAACAAACAAAAAGCTGGGCTTTCCTTTGGGGGGCGGGGGAAAACAGGCAAGCCACCCGTGAATTTAATCAACGCAAAAGCAAAAAACCCACAAACATTCAAAATTAGACATTTCAGTGTAGAAAACCTGGAAAGAAAAAATTTAAAACGTCCTGAGATGATGTTTCACAATTTCCAGCAAATATGTGTGAGAATCTAGATAAAATGGTTAATTTGGAAAGTAAAACCTGTCAAAATTAACCAGAATGGCATAAAAAAAACATAGTGAAAAAAATAATAGAACACACCCACCGAAAAGTACTAACTCTAATAATCAATTACTTAATCTATTTCAGAGCACTACAAGTAAAAAGAAACAAAAAACCTCCAAGCATAACGTATTTCCCAAGAACCAATAAAGCTTGTACTAAAGAAAACTATACAGACTATAGACGTGTGAATATTGAGGCATAAATCTCAAAATATTAGCAAACAGGATCCAAATGGACATTACCAAATAATAACATGCCATGCTTAGAGAGTGGTGTTCCAGGAATACGAATTTGATGTGGTTCTTACTATACTCCATCATATTAATACAGCCGGAGAGAAAAATGATATGATTATCTGCATGTAGGCACGAAACGGCTTTGAGAATATTAGCACATGTTCAATGTTAAACACACTCAGCAAAAATATTTATGGCTCTTGTAGACACACAGAATATATGTTTAACTCAAAATCTAGCATTTTACTAACGGGGAAGGACTAGAGGCTTTATTACTGACAGTAGGAATAAGACAAGGACTCCCACCACCCCATTACTATTTTTTTTTTTTGCAGTTTTTGGCCAGGGCTGGGCTTGAACTCACCACCTCTGGCATACGGGGCTGGGACCCTACTCCTTTGAGCCCCAGGTGCCGCCCCATCCCATTACTATTTAACAAGGGATGGAGATATTAGCCAATGCAGTTAGACAAGAGAAATTGGAAACACTGGACTTGAAAAAGAAGTTTCTTTGTGTTCAGATGCAATGCTTATTTATCTGGAAAACCCTGAAGCGTCAGTGTTAAAATGACTATGAACAGTAAAAGAATTTGGTAAGAGAGTAGGCAATAAAATCAATATATAAAAATCAATGACCTTCGTGTGTACAGACAAAACCCAGAAAGAATGAACGGAGGAGACACTTGGATATACAGTAGCAAAATGGTAATAAAATACCGAGGCACCCATTTAACTGAATGTCCAAGACTTGAAAGAGAAAAACTCACAAAACACGACCGGAGAAAACAAAATGGCCCAAATGGAAAAGAAATTACATTCTTGAGCAAAACCACTTAACATCACAAAGAAGCTGTCTAGTCTTCCAAGGTTAATGTATGGAATTAATGAAATCACAATAAAAATATCCTCAGCTGTTTCCGGACCAGACCGGTCAAATTAGAAAGTTCACTTGAAAAGATAAATGAGAATGAAGAGTTAGAAAATGGGTAGGGGGAAAAAAAAAAGAGAGAAAATGTATAGGGGATAAAAAACCAGGATCCTGGGGCTGGGAGGATTAGCCCTACTAGATATTAAAACTTACTTGTCAAATCTTCATAATTAAAATAGTGCGGTATTGGTGTATGAATAAAAAGACAGCTGAACAGAATTGAAAATCAGAAAGAGACCTCATTATACATCCAAGTTTAGTATGCTATAGAGGCAGCGCTCAAAATCAGTGGGGAGATAGGATGGAATTTTTAATAAGAGGATTAGGATAAATGGACAGATATATGGAAAAAGTTCAATTAGATCGATATCTCGTACTATTCAACAGCATGAATTCCAAGTAGATCAAATATTTATAGACAATGGAACTACACTAGTAAAGAAATGTTTAAAAACAGGTGAATTACTATGTAACCTTAGAGTAGAAAAAACTTTCCCAACCATTTAACATCCAAAAACAGTAAGATAAAGTGAATTACTAAAGGTTCAGCGTCTGTAGCTCAGTGCCCGGGGCGTCAGCCACACACACGGGAGCTGGTGGGTTCCAATCCAGCCCAGGCCTGCCAAAAACAACAATGACAACTACAACCAAAAAATAGACGGGAGTTGTGGTAGGCGCCTGTAGTCCCAGCTACTTGGGAGGCTGAGGCAAGAGTTTCAGGTTGCTGTGAGCTGTGACGCCATGGCACTCTACCAAGGGCGACATAGTGAGACTGCATCTCCAAAAAAAAAAAGCGATTTATTAAATAAGATGATTTTGCATGAAAAAAGAAATCATAGACAAAATAAAAGACCAAAATGACAAAGTGGATGTGTATGGTCAGGTAACATAGGCATCCGGATTTAGTGACAAGGAAGTTGGTGGCTTTAACAAGGGCTGTTTGGGGAGTATGTGGGAGGTGGGATCCTGATGGGAGTGGATGCAGGTTGAATGGCACAAGAGGAGGAGACAGCGGGTCAATGTCCACAGTTCCCCTGAAAAGCTGAACAGTGAAGGGAGAACCCAGCAGAGGTGGGGTCCAGGAGGAGGTGACAGATGCAGGTCCCACAGGTGGGGGCTTCAGATCACACCGAGAAAACTGTTCCTACCTTTATAGAGTTTTGAGGAATGATAAAAATTATCCAGGTAACTATGAAAAAAGATAGCAACACCAGCAGCATTTTCTGTAGCATCGTTTTTGGAGACATGATGAGCGCCCTAGGAGAGATGACACGAGAGAGGAACTGTGTGAGAAGCAGAAGCCCTCTGCACTTATTCACTGTTTTTTGGTTTGTTTTTTGGCTTTTTGTTTTTGTTTATTTTTGTGACGGAGTCTCACTCTGTTGCTCCAGACTAGAGGGCTGAGGTGTCATAGATCACAGTAACCTCCAACTCCTGGGCTCAGGAGATTCTCCTGCCCCAGCCTCCTGAGTAGCTGGGACTACAGGCGCCTGCCACAACGCCTGGCTAGTTTTCCTATTTTTAGTAGAGATGAAGTTTTTCTCTTGCTCAGGCTGGTCTCCAACTCCTGAACTCAAGGGATCCTCCCGGCTTAGCCTCCCAGAGTACTAGGATTATAGGTGTGAGCCACCACACCCAGATTCACTTTAAAAAAAAAAAAATCATTTTACTTATTTATTTTTTAGTTAGGTACATTTTCGTTACAGAAAATTGAGATCCCTTGATACCAGCTCACAAAAAGCTGCGAATGGGAAACTTGTAAAATGCCAAAGCCTCCCTGCCTGCCTGCCTTCCCTCCACACTGTTTTTTTTGGCCAGGGGCTGAGTATGAACCCACCACCTCCTGCATATGGGGCTGGTGCCCTACTCCTTTGAGCCACAGGCGCCCCCACTGTCTTGTTTTTAATATGTAATTTGCCACCAGGATTTTGCTCTGCCTTTGTGAGCCACACTCTCTGCTTTCCTTCTCCTAAACAGCAGCCCCTGCCCTATCCCCTCTGCCGACTCATCAGCTAATCCTACCCAGGTTTTAGATAGGACTGTTGCTTCCTCCGTGTAGAACCCTGAAATGGGAGTCAGATGCCCCTCACACGTTCTCTCCCTGCGCTCCGTATTTTCTCAGTTATGACACATCTCCAATTACAATGAGAAGCAGAAAAATTAATTCTCCAGTACGACTTTTGGGGGAAGACTTGGCGTAGCCGAGGGGACCACAAGAATATTCTCTTGTTAGGAAACTTAATCTGTAAAACGCTGTAAAGAGGAAATTAATCCTGTGTCCTGGGTGAGGAAGTGGGGTGTGGATAGCTTTTGTTTTGCCGGGCAACAAGTATGAAATCTGGAAGTAGAGACTCCAGGACGGAATTATTCTACACAATGAAAAAAGATCCAACAAGGCTGGGTCCTGCTGGAGAAAAGGTAAAGAAAAGGAGTCTGAAGAAGGTCTTGGAGAACAGAACCAAGATTAGATGCTTTGGGTTTACTTTGAGTATAAAATGTAAAGCCTCTCCTGTCCTTTAACAAATTCTCCGTGAAGTCTAGATTGGGTGGAAAGCTTTTGTTTTAGGTGGATTCATTTGGCAGAATTAAAAAATGTTTTATGTCTTGGATCTGGCAGGCAAAAAGACCCATCACTTGCAAAGGAGAAGGGAGAGAACAAGGGCTAACATAGAGCCGGTTCACCTTTGGAGAAGGTGACATTATTTTAAACAAGACACAGCACACAGTCACAACTGGTATGAAATCACCACCTTCTCATTGAACTACGGCTTCCCAATGCCTGAAGCACTGAGTGGGGAAACCGAGGGAGGTGTTGAGTTCTGGGTCAAGATAGGTATTGGGACAAAATGAATGAATGCAGGAGAGGGGACCAGAGAGTGGCTATAATCCACACCCTGTCTTGCAATAGTTTCTTTACTTTCTGAATGCCCAACGACTGTCAATTACTGAAGAATTAAAATAATGTCGATCTCAGCATTGTGCCCAGTGCCTAGCACTGTGCCTGACAATCACAATATTTGTTGAATGCTTTCAAAACGGAATCCTGATTTCACACCCGTTTCAAGTTCTATCTGCTGAAATTTCCTGTTTTGTAAGTGTACACATAACACGTTCAATCAGGCAAAAAGTCAGAGTTAAGGGGCCACTCTGACTACTCCCTCCCCCAGACGGACCCTGCGTTTTCAGTAAGTTTTATGAGGTGTGCGTTCCAATGTCTAATCCGATTCATTATTCCTTCCTTAATGAAGTAGGTATACAGATAAGTTTCAGCAACATTGAAAAAAAAAAAAAAAGGATGGTCATCAGTGCACTTTTATGAATCTTAGCTCTCAACCTCTTTTTCTTTCTTTTTTTTTTTAAAAAAAATTATTTTGTTAAGTCAAACACATAGATCTTTAAGCTTATACTGTAGAATATTGAGAGTACTTACTAGATCTGCATCAGGTACCATAAAATGTACTGGAGATCCAGAGAAGTAACAAAAATGAATTAAATAAATATTCTGGAGGAATCGAATACAGTAGTAGAAATACCAAATTCTTGCTGGTCTCTGAATAATCCTTTTTCCTCCATGCTGCTGGGTCCGTCTGTGCACTGCTCTGCCTAATGGTTATTACCTCTGTCCTCACTGAACCAGAATGTCCCCACCCTCCTCTCCAGCACACTTCCTCCTCAATTTGGAATTTCCTGCTCATTATTTGAGCTTGAATGCCAGCTGTTCTTTCCTCCATAGTTTTAAATAATTAATAAAAAGAAATTTTTTTATTAAGTCATTTGTACATAGATCATAAATACATTTATGCCATTATGGGATTCAATGTGTTGATTATTTGTACAAATTGGAGTCCTTACATCCTACTAATCAACACAGCCTTCACCTCATTTACCCAATTACAGCATTAAGACATTTGTGTTCTACCCCTGATAGATCCAACTTGTGCTTGCAATATGCTCCATAGGTGTGGTCCTCCTACTCACCCTCCCTCTGTCGACCCACCCCTCCTCCCCCTTTCCCTCCCCTTCCCTCTTTCATCCCAGGCAATTAAAAGGCTTCTGCACTGCCAAGAACACACTAAGTAAAGCAAATAGACAGCCCTCAGAATGGGAGAGGATTTTTGCAAGTTATATTTATGACAAAGGTCTAATAACCAGAATCCACAGAGAATTCAAACTTATT